GACCTTTCTTTGTGGCCCGATTTCTCCATGAAGGAGTGAAAATCACAATAGACATTTATACACCATTCGATAGAGAATTTCAAGGGCTATATTTTGCACTATTTTGTTTTCGAAAAGAAACAAAGTCGTTTTTCCGCCTAATGTCCGCCTGGATGCCCACTGTGTGTAGTATTTTTATCTTATTCGATCATTTCAATATTTTTTGAATTTTCGCGTCGAAGAATTACTGAGATTTTCATCAAAGAATGAAAATCAACGAAAACATTTAAAAACTACATCATTCGACTCGATTTTCGAGCCTGATTTTCATTGCGTGAAAATTGAGTTCTGATGGATAAAATCGCGAATTAGGGTCAGAATTTCGATTTTTCCCAGTAAGGTAGACTTTTCTCAGCGAGGAAAAGCAATTTAAAAAAAGTTCTTTGTTGTTTTGAAGAGGAGCACTCCGGAAACCTAATGCTGTGTGAGTTGAGGCTCCACGACTCTCACAAAAAACTAGATAGGTTTTTAAAAGTATTACCCGTTTTTTGGTCGCGTTTTTTCCGAATTTTCTGGCGGTTAGGCGTTTAGGTTTAAAACTACTTTCAGACCATTTTCTAAATCAGTTTTTAAAGCTGAAGAGGAGTACAGTGCGTTGAAGTTTCCAACTGGGAAAGAAACTTGGAAAATTCATCTTAAAAAAAGAGGCGAAAAACTGGATTTTTCACCCCTCTCAAGTTTTCTCGACTTTTCGACCGGAAGAAAGTCTCGAAAAAATTCAGAGAACACATATTCGTGATCGTGTTGAAAGTCTCTGTCGAATGGTGTATAAAAAAACGAAAGATAAATTTCACTTGAAGTGTGCTTTAGGTGCACCTTAGATAATTATACTCCAACGATTTTGTTTGGACGTCTTTTATGGAATGAAATGGGACGGCTTATGAAAGCGGAGAAATATTTTCATCCGTTACTTAAAACATTACCAAATGATCATGAAAGTCTTTCTGCTGTGTACAATCAATTAGGTAACGTATATTACCGAAAAGGTGAAGTATATTTAGCACTAGAAAATTCTCTACGCGCTTACGAACTACGTCAGAGACTTTTGCGTTCTGGTCATCCTCATTTAGCTGGTTCGTTAAGCAGTCTTGGAGGTATTTATTTGTTGAAAGGTGACTTGGACAAGGCAATGACGTGCTGGATGAAATTCATGCTTCCGTTTCGTTGACCACCATACAACAAAAGTAAAGTGGTTATCTGTGACTATTTACTAAAGGTATAAAAAGAACGAACGAAAAACGATACGAAAAACACGCATGAATTTCAACCATGGCCTCTTACTTCATCTAGTGTGAAGCGTCATTCATTCACCTTAATTGTGTCGCTTAAATGAATAGATAAATAGGTGAATCATTACTCGTATAGAAATGTTTTATTTTCTAATATGAATTGCTCATAAATATTTATCTAATAGTTTGTAGAATGAATAATAGTCAAATGGCTTCTTCAACGAAATTGATTGATGCTAAACCTAATGTTTTTAATGAACAAATCGTTGACGATTTTATTAATAATGAAATTGAACAAGGTTTTCCCGGCGCTGCACTGATCGTAATTCGATATGGTAAAATACTGAAACAAACCGTTTACGGTTACAAATTAAAATATAATGAAAATGGGACATTGATAGAACAACCAGAATTGTTAACATTAGATTCAATGTTTGATTTGTCATCATTAACTAAAATGTATGCAACAAATTATGCTCTTATGCATCTAATAGAGCAAGGAAAACTCAGCGTTGATGATCAAGTTACAAAGTATATACCAGAATATTCTGGATGTAATCCTGAGAATGAATGTCGTGAAACAAGATTAATAAAAGATCTATTGACACATACAGCTGGATATGCTCCAAGCGTTGAGTTTTACGATCCGAAATTAGTTTCACCAGATTTATACTCTCAAGATAAGGGTAGAACAGAGCAAATTATTGAAACAAAATTAGGATTTCAAAAAGCAAGAGATGGTGATCAATTACCAGTTTATTCTGATATTGATTATATGCTATTGGGTCTAATTGTGGAACGTATAAGTGGAATGTCAATTGATCAATATGCAAAGATCAACATTTATCAACCACTCGGTTTAACACGTACATTATTCAATCCTCTAATTAATACAAATTATAAAAAAGCTGATTTTGCTGCAACTGAATTGAACGGTAATACACGTAATGGTACAATCATGTTTCCCAATGTGCGTACACATGTATTACAAGGCCAAGTTCATGATGAAAAATCATTTTACTCAATGAATGGTTTATCAGGACATGCTGGTTTGTTTTCAAATTTAAATGAAATGGCAATTCTATGTCAAATCATGTTAAACAATGGTACATATGGAAATATTCAGTTTTGGAAGAAAAATGTGCAGGATCGATTTCTAATGCCGTATGCATGTGATCCATCCTACGGATTGGGATGGCGGCTAAATTTTAACAAATCTCTACCATGGTTCGGTCTGCATGCATCCGATGAGGCCTACGGTCATACAGGATGGACAGGAACATGCTCCGTTATTGATCCAAAGTATTCAATGGCAATTATTTTATTAACCAATAAACGACATACACTATGTATCAATGGAACCTTTGATGGTGAAAAGTACGAGACAGGAAAATATGGAAAAATAGTGACCCTGGTCTACGAGTCAATGTTAGTACACAAACATTCAAATTTAAAACTTTAAGCATTCTTAAAAATGTTCATTGGCGACCGGTGGATCCGACAAAAAGTTGTGTACTTTTGTTATTATGACAATATTGCTTCAAATGTGTTGATTAATTTGGTCGAAAATCATGGAGCAACGAATAATGACGATAGTTGACATAGCTATTCTATTTGTCGAAGATAATTCCGCTCTATATCATAGAAAGGATTTGTCAAATCGCATTACTAAAGACGATTTTATGAATTGTCCTCGTTCAAATAGTAGTAGTACTGCCGACCTCTTATTCATGTATTTGCCTATCAGACTCTGTTTAGACCGCAAAAGTATATTCATTATAGTTTAAATAAATCTCGAAAGTCAGATCTACGTAACGGAAAAAAGATAGCTTTACAAAATTACAATTACTCATATACAATATAAACTGCCGTTTATGTTACACTAATAGTCGACGTTGGATAGATTCAAACACTTGTTTTATCTAAATGCGGTTTGCAGTCTAAAACATTTTAAATTTTCTTCGACTTCAACTATGTCATTTCGAATAGTTTTCATGCAGTTTAGTATTATTTTCTGTACTCCCATGCAGACTTCAAAAGTCCTTCAAGGGGTGCGGCGAGTACTCGAAAATGGGCTTCTCGACTCTTCCAAAAATGATAATCGATATAAGCGTTCGGGTCGCCAACGCGACGAGGGCTCGGAAGTTCCGAACATCTCTGTTCCCTGACTCGGAATTTTTCTCGAGGGCTCGCTACCTATCTGAAACCGGTGGGGTCGAAACCAATAACTCCTCGAACGCTTATATTCCAGGCTCATTTTTCGAGGAGTCGAGACCTCGGCGAGGGCCGATCGGAAACGTATTTCGAGTACTCGAACAGGTGGTTGAACTGGTAAGATATACAAATGATTTTTCTCTAATTTTAGAAAATTTCTTATGCTATCAATGTAGTAGTACTATCCAACTCAGAGTGCAACTATACCTTTGTGTTGACACTATTAATTATGATCCGATTGTCACATGCTAGTGGCAGGAAACTCTAAATAGAGAGACAATTTTAACTGACTATTTTTCTTGTTGTGACAACATTTTATGACTTAAGAAACCGTCGATAATGTCGACATCCTTTTTTCTTTGCTTATCTAGGCTATTCATAAAAGAAATATATTTCGATCTTAGACGTATAACTCTCTTTCAGAAAGAAGTTGCCGTCTTTTCACAAAAAAATACGTAAAATCTAAATTATATGTTCACACATTCTTCGAAATAAAATGCCTTTCATTTTGTTTTATTCAGTCTGCTGTCGATGAAAAGTGATGGTTTCCATTGATTGGTCAACTTAACAGAAAAAAGAGTTCATTCTTAATATAAAAAGTGTATTAGAAGATTCCGTCATCTCATTCGATTTCCAACGATATATAAGTAAATCATTTGAAAACATGGAAAATAATTTTATGAAATACGAACGTGATTCAATTAAAATAGAAATGATTATGAGAAAATTTTTTGATAAAAGCGATAACGATGAAGCATTTATTAAAGAAGAATTAAGTACGTTCATACTTCAAAACCACGGTCAAAATCGTGTTAGGCATGCTGTAGAGAAGCAAAGAAGATAAGCTTGATGAGTCTTTATGATCTGCTGTCAAAATGAACATGCATCATTGATGATTGAAGAGAATAGTAGTCTCTGTAAAATTATGAATATTTTTTTCCGTCTTTGAAGTTATACATTACCCAGGTCAAAAACTCACGACCGTATACTATCGTATTTTGACGTAAACCCGGCCAATGTATTACGTCAATCGTAAACCATGCCGTTTACACTCAAATACGACAGTCGTAACAATTGACGTAATACGGTGGTCGGGTTTACGTCAAAATACGACGAAATGCTATATAGTATACGACGGTCGTCATCATGGACCTAGGTAGATAGAGATTAGTGCGTTTAAATCAAGAAAACAACATCAATTTTCGCTTCAGCAAAATATCAAGTGAATCTTTAAGGCTTTCTTTGGTTGGTGTAATAACATCATTTTTTTGTCTTGTTATTTATAGTATCAGAAGTAGAAACACTGGTGCCGACATCGGAAAATATACCAAATACTATGTATAAAAAACGTTCACGTATCCAGTACACAAAACAACAGGTAAACTGAACGAACACATTTAAACCACAACAATCGATAACAAAATTCTTGTTGTTTATAGTTGGATATTCTTGAATCGACGTTTCAACTTCATCATTATCCAACTGTTGATATGGTCGATAATACAGCTGAGAGACTGACATTACCAACAGAAAAAATTTCCGTAAGAGCTAATTACAGCTGACTAAATATTGGTTTATAATTCAACTATTCTTATAGGTATGGTTTCAAAATCGTAGATCGAAATTGAAAAAAGAATTAAAATATTCAAAAGTTTCCAGTCGAGAAAATCAACAATTAGTACGTTTTATTCATACATCTATAAAGTTATGTAATAAACTCTCCTTCTAGATTCCACCGTCTCTTTCTCCGACATGTTTGTCAACATTAGCACCGCCTCCTAGATATCCAATGTCGTCAGTGATGAATACAATGTTTACGCCTGCTTATCTTCCACAATCGGTTTATCCACTTTTTTATTCGACCAATTTATTTTAGTTATGTTTTTATGACACAATTTTTTGTACATGTATAAATATTAAATTATATTAAAAAATTTATTTATTGTTTTTTGTTGTAACAGTTGATTTTTGATGGCCATAATTTAAAAATAAGATTGTTTCAAAACATTAATGAGAAAACCAACGAATGTCGAATTTTGAGCGTTAATGTGCGAGAGAATCCGCTGGATCTCAGTCGATAAAAATGTTTATTGCAATTAGTCGTAAAAGTCCAGAAGATACAAGTATCTGGAGCTTATGTTTCTTAAAATGTTTTTCTCAAACGTGAAATCGTTTGAGATCGCCGTTCTGCCAGCAATGAACTATTATCGGCGCCAAAACACCGTGCACTTGGTTCTTTTCTTAATAACTTTGACAGAAATGAGATAGAGATCTGCTGTTTTCAGATTCCGAAACCAGACACTTTGGGACGTGAAACCTATGAGAAAATCAGGGCTCCCGATCAGGTTTAACATGGTGTACCATTCGAGGCAAAATCCGAAAGCTTACCGTTCCCAGATCACACTATTAAATTCAATCTCAAATAATACCAGTCGATAGCCAAAATATTTTTCTTCAAAACTATACAAGGCCCAGGTCTCCATCTCCTTTGATTCCGGAGAAACAGATGTTCTCCGTTGACACACCTGTCTCCTTCCAGACACGTCTGATAATCTCAGAAACATGTGGATCATAGGTAATCGACCACGCTGATAATCGTGGCGATGTTTGTTCCAGTCCCAGCTCAACTACAACTTCAGAAAAGCCAATTTGGTGAAAATCCGGTTTTCGTCGATTATCGTCAAAAATTAAAAACCGTATATTTCACTCATTTCTCGTCTAAAAAGACTCAAACTTTAAGAAAATGATTAACAGAGATTATAGAATGCGGATCTGGTCGAAAAAATCGGATCTGAACTTTGGTTCCGTGGGAAGTTTTCCAGAGATTAGCTAAAAAATCCAAAAATTATTAAGAAAACAACCAAGTGCACGGTGTTTTGGCGCGGATAATAGTAAGAACATGCATATTCGGAACTTGTTGAGGAAATAAAAGAGTTTACTAAAGTATACACCATAAATAATTGAACGAAGAGTTAAGAGACACCGTGTCTCTTAACTGTCTCAGACACGCACCGTTTTGTTACATTATAACTTGTTACAAATAAGGCAAGTGATTTTCAATTCTAGTATACTATCTCGCTTTCTGTGTGAAAAGAATTGAAAAGCCCATTAAAACAGACAAAATCGATATGAAATAACATCTTCTTATGCAAATGAAACACATGTCATTAGGACTGCCTGTTTTTACCATTACTGTTACTAGTAACAAGTAACGAAACTGTTACTTGTTACTAGTAATTAGTAACAACAGATGCTAGTTTGTTACTAGTAACGAGTGACGCAGTTTTTGCTTGTTGCTAGTAACAAAGAACAAACTTTTTTTGGGAAAATGGGTGTTTTTAAAATTTTAGAAGAACTTTTGAATTGTATTAGATGTCTTTTAAGTTATGACTCTTCCCTTAACGTGATGTATAGCTAACAAATATTTCCAGATACTTCTTTATCGGTGGGGGTGGTTCATTACTTATTACTTTCATTAATTTAATTATTAATTTCAAGAAATTTGTTACTTGTGACTAGTAACAAAGTAACAAAATAACATCTGATGTTACTAATTACTAGTAACAAGTAACAAATTTTTGTTACTTTACTTAGTAAAGTAACATCGAGTAATAAGTAAAGAGCCACCCCTACATGTCATACTCGAAAGGATTTCAAGATAGTGGCTGTGTTGGTGTTCACAATCGTTTTGTTTATTTGTTATTACTACGACCTAAAGCGAGTAGAGCAGAAGTTTTTTGTCTTTTCTTTTTCTGTGTGTGTTGTCGTTTTAACAATTTCGTTCACCGTTATCTCTTGCGTCACTTACTTAACATGATAATCATCTAGCCGCAACAGGTGGAGAAATTCAATTTTATTTCCATTGTGGAATTACCACAGGAGGGCAATAGTGTGGAATGTGCTCTGTGTGACAGTTCAAAAAGCTTCTTACTTGCGGCTGCCAAAATGCTTCCTTAGTGTGCGCATAACCAGAGTCACTTATACACTGATGTAACACTGACGTGTAGTTGTGATTGAAAAACATTTTTATAACTAGTGGGAGCCGATCAGTGATAAAAGAGGTGTGATGAATCATGGTTTTTTAAACTCTGTTGCTATGTATTAGTCTTCTCATATGTCATTTTCAGGACAAAGTACATTACTGCGTTGATTCTATTAATATCCGAACGGCGAAGTTTGACGTCTTATGTTTGATTGATTATCAGAATACATTAAACGCTTAATTGTTTTTATTCTCTTCCTGCTTTTTCGTTCAAGTTTTGCTAAGGGCGTTACTCCAGACGCTGCAAATAAACTCCTGAAGGAAACGATTTGGACGTTGAATGCGACTAGATGATAACATTTGAAATCATGATGAACGCAAATTATAATCACTGTTTGCCGTCAAACAAAAACCTTCTTTCTAGGATCTTTATAATCATAATAATCTCACAGATCTCGTAATCAAAACGAAAAACTTCATAATCGTTTGGTAAAGAACAGTTCAGTTTTGTTACCATTTTCTCTCTTTTCTTTCTCTACAGCTTGATTACGTTATTTTTGATAGTTTTCTTCAGTTCACTGTATTTTTTACTTAATTATTTTTACTTAATGATTATAACAGACTGATTATTGCGTTTGTTAAGTGTTCTCGTATGCTTTCGACCACATGTGGCTTTTAGTACTTTATAGGCCTTTATGCATGGTTTTCATAGTCAGTGGACTCTTTCAAACCTTTTTGTTGACAGATGTGTATTTTTCATCATGTTACACTTATAATTAGGATACTCTAAATAAGAGTGGTTCAGGATATGGAGCACATCGATCACTGAAAGAGTGTGCGTACTGACTTTTATCAAATAATAACGCTTTTCCACTCCTTCCCAATAAATTCTAGTGATCAACTTCTCAACCATTCTGGCAGTCTATCCGAACCCCGATTTGATAAATCTATCGACGTCTTCACATCTCTTTGAACAAGCATGCACTTTTCACAAGTTTTCCAGATTATTCGAAACATCATTGATCCAAATTAAAAACAAACGTTCATACAGCAGAGTCATTGGACACAAGTTGCGGGAAAATTCAAAATTTGAGTGGAATTTATTTTTGCGATACATGGTTGCATAGAGCTCGTCGAGCTGACTAAGGATATGTGTGTTTTAACAGTGTTACAACATCAAACACTGATTTGACTGATGTGTATTTCAGATTTTTGCAGAACTTTGATTTTTTAGCAAAAATCTCGGTCGAAAAGTTCGAAAAAAATCAAAGTTGTCCAAAAATTCTACAACATACATTAGTCAATTTAATGTTAGAAATATTCAGGTGCATTCTGAAGATTGCAAAAGTGTTCATTTGGTTTGTTCCTGGTATCCATTGTAGAGCATCAAATGTTAAGACATATCGGCAGAGTACCGCCTTCAGGTCACAAACGGATCTGGTTTCGATAGTACCCTTCATTTAGTTAGATCATTTTAGTCCAGTTTTTTTGACAATCCACTAATTAGTTGGTATCCCGTTTTTCTTACACCATTCCCTTGCACATGCTTTCACATGGCTGGTATTTCTAGTATTTTTATTTTACATTCTTATTTATTAAATATTTACCATTCTTTTTCTAAAGAACCTAGTATCGTGTATCATTTTTAAACTATTTTTGTTTTTTTTGAGAAATGAAAAGTGTATCTTTTCAATCGTGAGAAAAGTCATATGTTGTATTTTAAAAGGAAAAAATTCGAAGCTTTGTGTTACCCTCATTTATGCTTGGTGCCTCGTTTACTCAGAACAACTTTTGTGGACATAAAAAACGGTCTTTTTTGTGTGGTAAGCTAGTGACATATGACAATTAAATTTCTTTTAGATAAAGACAGTAAAAATGAATTATCATTTACATTTCATAATTCTATGTTTAGTTCAATGTAATTCAATCAACGGAAATATTATTAAAACAGACTATAAAAAAGGTAAATTTCAATTGATTAGGATAATATTTAAATTTTTCTTTTATTACAAGGTCCATCGATCTACAATTTATTTTGTAAAATATTTTCTTTGTGTTTTAGACACCAATAAGAAAATCGATAAAAATGTAGAAGAAATAAAGAAAGAATTAGCACATTTAGTTGATGGTGTTTTCTATATATCTGAAACAGATGCACCATTTGAATTATTAAATGTACCTGATAATCGTTTGTATCGAAATGTTGATGATGTATTGAATTACTTTCATCCCAACTATAAACAGTTAACAAACGAAGAAATACCATTAGACAGATTATTTTCGAATCACGTTGATCCAGTAACATATGAAACATACCGGCCAATAAAAGAATATTTACAGAAATATTTACATGATATCCATATAGTTCGTATTGGTAAGTCAATGAAAAACAGTGATTATTAGGTTCATCAGTTTGATTTTATAGGATATTTTTCTTAATATTATTTGTGAAGACTTAGAATTTTCAACTACTGAATCAGGACCGTAGCCGGGAGATGGATAGATAGGGCACGTCACTACTCTTTGAGCGATAAATCGTTTGGAAGAGACTCCAGGACAAAAAATTTGAGAAGTAAAGAATTTTTTTGACTTATGGGTGTAGCCCTTTGAACACTTCTGTCTACAGTCCTGTACTAAATGTGTCTCACACAGTGAGATGATCAACAAGCGTAATGCGCATTTCCAACGTCTGAACAGATGCTAGATGCCATACTTACCCGTTGTTGCACACAGAGAAGACTTTAAAACTCGGAAGATAACCTAAACGTTTTCTGGAACCTTTCACATTCCTGGAACCGGTCGCAATAGGTTCTATAGCCAGCCAGTCAGACACAAATAGCGTTGTCAGAATTTGCCTGTCAATAACTCCTGCCATTAGTAGTTAACTTCATCATTGAAAGTTAGCTGCCACCAGAAAAGGCAGGATTCAAAATGGCTGCTGACAACTTAAACCTAATTGAGATTGTTTCCACCTAAAAACGGAAGAATAAGGCTAAAATTAGCACTTAAAGTATTTCTGAAGGTGGAAATGCGTGTCAAAACCGAGATTTAAACGTTTTTTATTTAAAGAGCAATTTCTTCGATTTTCCTATTTCTATACGGCCGCCCCAAACATACCTTGAAAATCGCCTTAAATATGTAAAATCCTACGCTCTATCGGAATCCGAAGTTTTTTTCCAGCTGAAACTCAAATTTTTTTGGTTATCGCATTTTGAGTAAATTCTGAAAGTTTTTAGATTCGAATAGTGGTTGAACGAGGACATACTGAACTCTAGTTTTGGTTTCATTAGATCGGTAACATGTAAAACTGCATATTTTGAACTATCTCTTCTCATCACAGATGGGTTTTTTTTCACTGTTTTCTTTTCAAAATATCGATATTCAATAAAACTGTATTTTGAAACAGAATTTTTTGCGTTCAATGCTGCTTTGCAGAGGCTGAAAAAATGGCGTTTTGTTCAGGTTTTCACTCTCTTTCGGTTGAAACACAATTAGATAGCACGAAAATAAACGTCTGACTTGTAATAGGAACCGGTCTATGCTAATATGGTATTCGTTTTGGTCAATGAAACTGCATTCTTTTGGAGAATACAAAAACTCGAGTGGACAACTCTCGACGGGCGATTTTTGGTAGGTAATTTCTGATGATGACAATGTACAAACGCTTCTCTAGATCCTTTCTTCCAGTAAGTAAATAAAATGTAGGGATGACGGCACAGACTCCACATCCACATTGTCTAATTTCGAACAGGTTATGATTACTGTAAGTGAGCACTGGCTTTTGATTGCTTTGAAGTTAAAAAGCATTTACAAAATTCTGCCAAATTTTTGTTTCATATATATTCTTTAGGTGAAATTAAAATTGATATTTATATTATTGGCTCGGCAAGAACAGCAGCAAATGATAAAAACAAATGGATTATATTGAGAACCTTGGCTGTTGAAACATAACGCAAAGAAATCTATCGGCTGGTATTACCGTTCAAAAGAAATGAGTTTTTTCTTACGACATTCTTGTATTTTTCGTTTCTTTATTTGATTTATGTTTCAATGTAAGGTGCACGTAATTCGAAGTTTCTACACCATTTTATTTTTAATTCAAACACATACAGCTGGATAGTCCGGAAGCCAAAGATCACGAATATGTCCTTTTTAACCTCTCTAGTCCACTTCTTCATGGAGAAAATTTCAAAACATTGTGAGATGCTCTTTTTTTGAAAAATCACAACTTTTCAAAAAAAATTCAATATCTCAGTCTCCGAGAACGCTGGACGGTTAACGAGGTGGTATTCAAAATCAGCGTGAAAAACTGAGTACAGAACACCACCCTTTATGATTCCAACCCTACACCCGATATTGGGCGAAATTTTTTATGAAAGGGTCTCAAACTGCGAGGGGTCATCTTGCAAACCTATCTCGTCCTTGGGGTTAAAAGATAGAGCCTTCGTTCTTATGCCATTGGAAGCGCCTTAACACGAAGAATAAAAGTACGTTCTCTGTTTTTCAAAATTCCTTTTCTTTCCTGAGAAAAGTGGACTCTACTGGGAAAAATCGAAATTCTGACCCTAATTCACAATTTTCTCCATCAGAGTTTAACTTTCACGCAATGAAAATATCATATTCGGAATCAGCATCAAAAATCGAGTCGAATGAAGTACTTTTTTTTATCCTATTCGATCATTTTAATTTTTTTTGAATTTTCACGTCGAAGAATTACTGAGATTTTCATCAAAAAATGAAAATCAACGAAAAATTTTGAAACATATATCATTCGACTCGATTTTTTGATGCTGATTCCGAATATGATATTTTCATTGCGTGAAAGTTAAACTCTGATGGAGAAAATT